GCGAACTATACGATGGAGTTGTCGCAGGCGCACCAGCTTTCCGCTTTGCTCAACAACAGGTTCTGCACGTTTACCCAGCTGAGGTAGAACATACAATGGACTACTATCCGCCGCCCTGTGCATTGGAAAAGATTGTGAACGCCACTATCAGTGCTTGCGATCCCCTTGACGGAAGGACTGACGGTGTTATTTCTCGCACTGACTTATGTAAGCTTCAATTTGATCTAGACGCGGTCGTTGGCGAGTCCTACTATTGCGCCGCGCAGACCAGTAGCTCGCCGGGGTTCGGCTTCGATAAACGTCAGGCCCCGGGTAGTCAGACTAGCTCGACCCCGGAACAGAACGGAACTGTCACGTCTCAAGACGTAGCGGTTGCCAAGGCAATATACGCTGGTCTTCACAACTCTCAGGGACAGCAGGCGTACTTGTCGTGGCAAATTGGTTCGAGTCTCTCGGACGGCAACCCGAATTACAACAATGAAACGGACGCCTGGGAACTCAATATCCCTTCTACAGGAGGAGCATATGTCACCAAGTTCGTTCAGTTGCTAGATCTCGACAATCTCTCCGACTTGGACGGTGTTACCTATGATACCCTAGTGGAGTGGATGCAAATCGGAATGGTTCGATACTTAGACAGCCTACAGACCACCCTCCCTGACCTTACTCCTTTCCAATCATCCGGAGGTAAGCTGCTCCATTATCACGGCGAGTCGGACTCCTCCATCCCGGCTGGTTCCTCAGTCCATTACTGGCAATCCATACGATCCATCATGTACGCCAATCTTTCCGATAGCGAGGCCCAAGACGCTTTGTCGGATTGGTATCAGTTCTATCTCATCCCCGGCGCCGGTCACTGCGGCGCAAATTCCCTTCAGCCCGGCCCATATCCCCAGAACAACATGCAAACAATCATCGACTGGGTTGAGAACGGCGTCAAGCCAGACCGTCTCAACGCTACCGTGTCCTCCGGCGACAACGCTGGCGAGACCCAACTGCTCTGCCAGTGGCCTACTCGCCCGCTCTGGAGCGGGAATAGTTCGGACTTCGACTGCGTTAACGACGAGGCCTCCATTGATAGTTGGACCTACAAATTCAACGCATTCAAACTGCCTGTCTACTAGGTTTGTTGCAACACAGGCTTAAGAGAGCGACTAGCTGGGAATATGGGCAGAATCTGGCAATAACCGGGTTACTCGAAGATGATAGCAAGTAGTGAAAGAGTACCTATTATATGGCGCCTAAAAACTTACGAGTCCATCATAAGCAACGCTTCAATATATAATTGACAAATGCTCATATATCAGTCTTAATAAAATTTCAAACGCACTTTTCAAGATTGCCGCCATGCCTTAAATGTATTGACTTCTCAGACGGCAGCATCACTGCAAGCCAGTTCATTTGGGTAACACGATTGAAGGAGGTCTTTGAGGCTAGGTACGTATGTATAAGAATTTTTAAGCATGTCAGGATCTCAGGTTGGGGGGTATTCAATGGCTTTTATTGTTGCGCAGGGTTCTAATCTGATAATACTACGCGATGTCCATCTATATACATGCCTTTTGTTATGATCAATGATGATCGTGATGAAGCGTAAGCGTCTCCTGCCGACGCTGCCCAGCAATATCTCGGATGTTTTCGCTATAGTAGATCGAAATAGCTAGTTTCGGTAAAAAGTGAGAAATGCCAGTCATCTAGGACTTGTATTAATAAAAACAGCATAATAGGCGAGATAAATGATGTACAGTAGGCTGTCGCAACCCTTGCGGTGAAATATTATGAATACAAGGGTTGAGCGCAAAATTAATCTCTTTGGCCGGCATGATAATTTAACTGGGAGCATATATACATATGGTAATACTTTGACGGGTCAAAGAGGTGGAAAGAATAGAAAAACGACAATAGCAGTAGGGCATAGAGCTTCATGATAGCAGGATGACAATGCAAAAGACTTTCTAACGCAGCCAGTGGTCCATCCCTAGGTTGAGGCTGGGCGAGTTTCATTTCCATAGTCTCCGAGAAGCACGTTATTTCGAATGCATAGCATGGGTGTCACGGTTCTAACTAGAGGCATATTAGTAACTGCAGATATAAAGGCACGCCCCTCTTGGTAGTAAGTAACCTTATACTTTTTTTTGGCAGTGTACTTGCCGGTAGAATGCTACAGTTCTGTGCCGCGACAAGGGGGCTGGATTCTGAGGGCCCGGCAACGAGGCGTATGGGGGATTGATTGTAAGAACTAAAAAATCCGCCAAGTTTTTTTTTTCTTTTCGACCTTCCCCGGCAAGCGGCAACGTGTTTGCTGCTGGTGTGCTTGCTGATTCACCCCTCCAGAGTTTCCTTGACTTGTCGGATGTCACGCTGCAAAGCATCGATGCGAGGTAATTTTAGAACAAAAGGCAGCTGGAAGGAGGACATGTATGTATGTACTGTACTGTACAGTATGTGGTCATCACTGGACTTGCGCCGCCGATCTGGGACGGGGCGAAGCGAAGCTTGCAGCGTCAATCGAGGAGCCGGGACACATTGCTTTAGGCCTTCTGAAACTTGGGATACCTGCCAATTATGGAATTGGTCGGGAAATGCAATGAAATAGATGCCTTGCCCAAATCTAAGTAGTAGTTTAGTCGAGGAGCTGTAGATGAACTGTGGTTCACAGTCTATATTAAAAAAACTTTTGGCTAACCGTTTGAAGGGTATTTATTATGAACTACATATCAGTCAGCAGCACCGTAGTCTTTCAAGATATTCACTGTGCAACCTTGTTTCCTCGGCGTTATTGGATCTATATGTCGACGACGTACTCGGTAGACCCTTGATTAATAATTAGGGCAGTTAAGATGCAAATCATCGTGACAGGAGCAATGGCCGATCCAGGTTAGGGGACCTGGCCTGGGCGTGAGGTATAGCGGGTTGATTGATATAACGTATCGCAACCGGATGACGAGATGGTCAATGGAATTGTTTCATCCCACCATTGTAACACTATCAAACAGACCCTATCTCCTCAAAACAGTGTTCCAACGGTTATTACCCACCCGAAAGTGACGGCGAGACCATGGGGGCCACTGACGTGGGGCGTCGCACGCGACAGGCAACACATAATACACCAAGAAGGTGTGAAGAATATAAGCCCAGGTAAGCAGGACCAAGAAGAGCCGATCGTGATCTTCCTGCTGACGGTTGATCCAGAAAAGCCTGAGCGAAGCGAACAAACAATGAGGGATTTTTGGAATGCGTGTCATGAGCAGGAGACGGTCGTTATGGCCGATACAGAAAGAGGGAAAGTAATTTCTTGGGATTTGCTTGCTACGTACGTACCTACCATGACTACAGTGAATTTCAGCAGAGGATTGCTTTCCGGACACCGAGGACATGCGTATAAAGTAGTACTGTATACATAGGTTGATGCAATAAGGGTTACATTTGAGGACCTCTTAACAAGGGATGGTACCGTCTTAACTGGGGGGTTGGATTGCTAAGTCATCTGTCGGTGTTCTTCTCATCCTCCTTTGATGTGAGCTGTTTTACGTATATTGGGTTTCAATACCAGCATTTGCAAGCGGAAATATAGTTAGCGTCTTTCCCGAGTCCTAAGCAGGTTATCGTCTTTTTTGCTGCACACACAATTGCTAGATGTCTGGTTGGTGGCGTCAAGCCCGCATATCATAATCCTTGAGACGGACCCTGTTGTGGTTAAAAGTCCGAAGAAGCGCCAGTATCAAAGCCGCAGGGGACGCGTCTAGCGTAAGGTTTCCTGTATGTGATTTTCTAGATATGGATATATTCTGAGAAGGCGAACATCTGTGCTGTGTACACGGAACGGTTCATGCAAGATTCTCGGTCATGAGGTCCAGTCGCGTTTCGGCTTGACAGCAGCGAAACAGTCCAGATCTAACCCCGGCCGGGACCGACAAACGGGACCGAGAAACAAGCTAATAGTCGTCAAATATCAACCCATAACTTGGTCATTAGTCAACACGAGAAGGTCAATGTGTTGCTAGGAAAGAGTACTTGGCTCTGGGGGTGACGGCCGGCCTCGTGGTTACACAAGTAGGATCGTAGACGAGATGCTAGCATCTATTCTTGCCAGCCAAGATGGGGAAAGGTGGAACGTAACTAGTCAAGGCCCGCGGTTAACAAAAGAGTAAGTTAGGTGTATCTTGGTCCCTGACCCCCACTCAGTATGACCAGAAGCCTGTACTGTAATGGAACGGTGAGAGACAGGTTCCATTCTTGGTCGTAGGATTAGGACCATGCGTCGGGGAGTAGCATTCGGCGCCGCCAACTTGTTGCAGAATGGCCGAGATTGGGGGTGAGGGGGGTGTTTGTTGGCAAGGCGACTAATTATTGTAGAGTACTTCGTTAGTTAGTCTAAAGTAGGGGTTGCCTGCCGTCTTGAGGGAGAAGTTGAGTTTTCGACAAGTCCTACGCCTAAGCGAGTCTCCTTGATTCTTGGGTTGGTCGGTTGGTTGGTAAGTTGGCGGTTAATTGACACCCCTGAAGGATCCATTGCACCAATATCATCTCTCGCTCCCGGGAGGATGCGGAAAGCTGGGTGGTACCTGCTTGGCTCGGGAAGACGGGGGAGGGAGAAAGCGCTTGACAAGAGGCTACGATTGGAAGACAAGAAAGCAGAGCGACCAACATGCTGTAAGTACATAAGTAAGGATGGCGTACGTACTGTACGGCAGGGTAGGCAGGTAGTTAAGGTAGTACAGTACATATAGCATGGTAGTAACAGCGGGACGTTACCACGTTCGCACGCTACGCTGACAGAAAGGACCATACAGACAGATGAGGTAAGCTGGTTCTGCAGGATAGCGGGAGAAGCATTCATGGATGAATAAAAGGTGGAGATAAACACACCCCGCACTATCTATTCGCGAGTAACTAATACAGACAGTCGGACAGGCAAACTTATTTCGACCCCAAAACATATTAGATGGAGGAGCCCACTGGACAGGCAAAGTGCTAAAATAATAAACAAAACTAACAGATGCCTCCATCCCGGATCGAACGAGAGACCTCATCATATCTCGTAATTTAATACAAGTGATGCGCGCTACCACTACGCTATAGAGGCAAAGGCTTTTAGTAAGGCCGTTAGGGGCAGCGGAGGATTTAATGCCTTTATTAAATTCCATCTCTATGCAGTTATAACGACCTCGCCAGGGACACCAGGTCCATTTTCTAGCATAAAACGGAGGGCATCTGCGGAAAGATTCAAAGAGTTGTGGTGTATCCCTAGCGCAATAAATATAAATATCCTAACTATATTCATATATTGGTTAGGTAGGGTTAAAATATCAAAACTCTATACGCTGCCAACCCCTTTAATTCGCTGTTTTACCAGCTCCCCATATATCTACACTAGTAAACAAAGACCAGACCCTTTGTTCCCCTGCCGAGTTCTTATTATCCTTCATCCGTACCATTGCTCTTTTTTTGTACTCGTTCATCACTAATATCGCCACGTTAAGGAGCGACCTTCTAGCTGGCCTCATCGTGTTGTGTCCTGTCTGAGCTCCTGCGCCGGCTTCTTGGAACACGCGTGGTACCCGGTTTCTAATTGCTGGACTTTTATACATTGATGTTCTGTGAATTGGGAGCAACAGAGGTTATAGATAGACTATGCTGACCGTCTGTCTAATCGCACGTTCCCCTCGCAAGAAGATGGTGCCTGTACCTGGCTGTCCCCTGTGATGTGATGCATAAGTATGCAAGATGGCGGCACATGTTATAGTATGCGTGTCCCATAATAGCGACAAGACGCAAGTCTATCCCTGGGACAGGAAATAGTACAGAATCTTTTAATAGAACGGACGCAGTGATACATCATCATAGTCGGCACGCGTGGCTCTTCGTAGACAACTAGTATTCCCTCCAACCAACCAACAAGGTACTCTTTGTGACACTGTGCAACAGACAGGATTCGAAAGTGCAATAATTGTAAATAGAAATCGGACTGACTGTCTTGAGCGATATCGAGATGCATGCAGGTCTCATATTTTAGCGGCGTTCAGGGGTCAGGCAAGAAGAGAAGCATTGTTAGCAGGAACTAGTCGACTGTACTGTACAGTGGCATCGGCGTTTATCACTCGGCAGTAGACGCAATGGTAGTACCAACATGCCGATCTAGTTACACATCGGAAGCGGTTCGATGTCTGACAGAACTTCGTGTGGACGTTCAGGGTGGTGGTCAGCTCGGGTCGCCACGAGTCCTACCATTGCAAACCAAGGCTGGGGTCATTCCGTCTTAGACTAGGTAAGAGGCTAGCGTGGGAAACGTGAGCTGCTGGCCATAATGTATTCTTTAACACGCTAGATACCGGTTGTTTACAAGGAAGTCCAGCAAATACTTTCTCAAAGACTTCCAACTAAGTCTTACGTACTGAGGAGGGCACCTGCCGATGGGGTTGGTATGAATTCGCTGATTAGTTTCTTGGTAATTATTTTTTTGGACATAATCGGCAGGTCTATTAGCTCTGCTAATCATTCTCATATACTTGAGTCCTACGTACCCCTTATCCCATTTTTGCAACCCATTAGTTGCAATTTATTTAAAACTTACAAGACAGCTAGCATCTTCGAAATCCCTGCTCCTAAATGCCACTGGTAGTCATCGACTGATGAAGTTGCTACTGCAGGACTCCTCCCACATTGATCTCGTCCGACGGGGAATAGGGTATTTCGAATGAGCTGTACAGTTCTGTATCTTCTCTCAGCAATGACGATACGAACCAATTTATTTGGGAATAAAACTTTGTGGTCTTAAAAACCGAAATACATACTGATGTAGAGCACGCGAGAATAGAGATTTTACAATGAATAAACAATGCCGATGAAGCTTATGTCTATTCGCGTCGTTTTGGTGTATATCTTAGTCCCTTCTCATAGGGTCATTTTGCGGCTAGGTGGCCTGTCCTGGTAGATTATACAGTAGAATAAAAACATGCCTGTGCTACCTGGGAATAAGCAGTTGGCCCTCCAATGCCCGCGAAAAGCGCGACTTGAGGCTCATACACAGTATGTTAAGTACCGCCCGCATCTTTGCTACGCGTACGTAAGCGGCGCCTTATGCACATGACGGTAGTACCGTGGCTAGTTCTCCAACGAATTTGTATGGATGGTGTGTGGCACCCGATCATCCACTAGGGTCGGTACCATACTCGTGAGCTGCGTTGGAACGTTTCTGACTATCAAAACCTCTCGTCGCTCCGCCATTTGGGGTAAGTAGTCTTGACCGCCACCCCAGAGTTGCATTGGAAGGCCTCATCACATTGCCAGTTCAAGAATGGGAGGGGAAAAGCGATTTGAATGGTCTAGCAGAGCCTCAGATGCAAAGCGAAAAGGCACTATTGATCGGATAAACGAACAGCACGTCGTCTTGGGCGGTCTACCGGGCGCAAGGATGATCCGCAGGTGATTCGATGGGGCATCGCTTTTGCCGTCTCGGCCACGCAGTTGTTTACTTACAGAGACTTACTGTATAATATCACTTTCAAATAGGTAGTCAAACTGCCCATATTGCGACTATGTGGGGTCCGTAGGTGCTGTAGACTGGAGACAATGGGCGAGTGAATTATCACCAAGGTAGGCATAGCAGAGAGTCAACTGATGTTCTAAGGCTACCCGCGCTTAGAATATAAGGAAACGGGATCTGATTGGGCCGGGTGGAACTCAAGGTGACACAAGAGACGCTTGCTCGTCGTAACAGTTGCAGGGGTGTGCGATGATAAGCTGACACAAAGATAGGTACTGTATGCATGTACTACGTACTGTACTGTATCCCCCACGAACCTGGGTTCCGGCTCGACTCTGCCAGGGCGGGCATGCTCGCGGGCGGCACGGCCTTAGTGTAGAAGCAAGACAGACGCCTTCCGGACCTTCGAGGGAAGGGGAAGGGAAAAGAGAAAGGAACCGCGAGTAATACTATCGTGATAGGCGGGCGATGACTGTACTGCAGCGTTCGATGCACTTAGCCACACTTTGTAGGCGCAGATAGAGATCATACATGCCCTTTGGGGGCTGTGAGTTGCGAAGCCAGCGAACTGCCGGCGAGTAGACCAATCAACAACACGACAAGACCCCTCGCAAGCTCAACCTTATGAGCATGTCCTGTAGATGTGGATTTCGCCTTGTGTGTATACTACGGCACGTCAATACGCCAATAACTGCCGATGCTGGCATCGCTTCACATAGCTGCTGTACCTGTAGATGCCTGAGGTGACGGGAGTATGTAAGTGACGTGGGACGTGCCGTCGGCCCCGAAGACACGCTGTGGGAGAATTTCAATCTACCGGTATGCTATACTACTACTTGTTAGCGACGGGGGGAAACGGGATATCGCAAACAGCTGCCTTCGTGTCTGCCTCTGGGTTGCCTTGGACCTCAACGTTGTGAACGTTATTCGATATTAATTGTTTCGGTGAGACGAGTGGCGGACCACGGCGAATGAGAGAGAAAAGGGTGGATCCCTGTCTGGTCGCCCTGTCCGCCTATTTTACTGTCGCACAAGGAGTGCCAAGTCCGAAGTACCCTTTTACCTTTCTACCTTTCGACTCTGCCCATGTACTGCTCTTGCTCTGCCCTGTCCTGCCCTGTCCTGCCCTGCCCTGCCCTGCTGTACCCCTATAATCCTACTGTATCTGTCACTGTCAGTCCTGCCGCCCGTCCCTGCAGCCGACTCCTTCACGCCACCTCTTGCCGAATAGAAGATGACAAACCAACGAACGGGGCATCTACTGTACTGTAGGTACTGTGTGTTACTTATCTGTGAACCAGCCAGATGATGGGGAGCGCCAATCCCCACAAACCCCTCCTCCCGGTCTCCAGGGTCTCTAGGTACATACCTACCCTATCCCAGTCGTCCGTTGGCAGACTGCAGCACCCGTGGCGTCCCCCGACCGAGACTCCTCCAACCAACACCCAAGCAGCCAACAGCCAGCAGCCATCGACAGCCCAACCAACAGGCAAGCTGATGGGCTTCGGTCCAGGAGCTAGCTGTGTGGCTTCGCTGCCTTTTCCGATTTGGGGAACAAATAGTCTGTCTCATTTTTGGGCACTTTCTGCAGTGATGCGAGACATCGATGCCCCCCGATGCAGCGTTATTTGGTAGAATGACGGAATGGCATCTTTAAAGAAGCCCCTCTGCATGTACATTGTCCTGCAACGCCCAGGTTGACAGAGTTACTATACCACCGACCAGACCAGATGCCTCGTCTCGGAAACCGGCCTACGGGTGTCCGAGCAATGCTCTATCGGCTCGGGTCGACCAAGGCGCAGGCCATCTCGTTGGCAGACGGAACCGTGTTGGTGAGTCCTCTGCCCTCTCCAATAACCGGCCACATTGGAGTGCTCGACCGCGATTGGACCAAATACTATTATCCAGTTATCTCGTTCTATTGCGAACGCGCATTGGGTCGCTTTCAATTTCCTCCTCGTGCGACTCTGCTCTGGCTTCTCATATCTTAGACTCGCCCTTATGCGGACTTAACAGGCAGCACTCTGATCGGGCGGTCCGTGGTCGAGCCAACGGCACACCTCAGAGCACACAAGCACTCCCGTTGCGCATGTACGTGTCTGGTGCCTGGAGCTCTCACACAGTTGTACGCCTTCCTGTCCGCCTCAGTGGCTGTCCTGCTGCTTTGGCACCCTCTCATCTTGTGCGCTCGAATGCCGTGATTTACACATCAACCAATATACACTCCTGTGCTATTGCCCCAGGCTCCGTTATGTGATTTTCTTTTGTGCCTACAAATATCCAAGGGCACATAATTAGCCCTGTCGGAGACCTATCTGGAGGAACAGGGCATTGTCAAGTAGGACGGAATTAATTCCCATCTTTGATGGGTCGCGTACCAACGTACTCACGCTGCGCTAAGCTGGCTTCAAATTTGCAACATCTATCCGTCAGGTCCTAGAATGTGACGCGCTTGCTTCAGGAGTGGGCTGGTTGCCTTATGGGTGATGGCCGCGCCCTACACGGACAGAGGTACTGTACATTACAGGGGGTGTCCAACTCAAAGGGGTGTGTTGCAGCATGTTGGCGGAGTAGGTGCATAAAAAAAAAAGAAACTCAGC